CTGTTCTGCATCGTGTTTGTGTGTGTGTGTACATGCACCCCATGAGTAAGTACACCGTGCAGATCGAGTACGCACCGAACCAAGTAGACGTGGTGCATGCATGGATCGAGGACACGCTCGTTTCGTCTACCACAAGAACGGTTGGTGGAAGCGCGCGCTTGATTGATGGTTTCCGAATGAGAAATATAGCGCAGTAGATGGCAAACGTATGGTTACCCTTAAGGAGGCATACGCTGTTGATGATATGTCTCGTCCGGTGTGATAAACCGCGCTAACAATATTCCGATTCGCCGTCAGTTGCATGAGTATGGACAGTCTTGCCTCAATGCGAGCGAATGCGTGACCCAACATACGAGTGTGCAACGGTGAACACGTGCCAAGAACCGACGCAACTAGTCAGCAAAACGAATACACAATTTACTTGCACCTGTGGTGTCAGATATATTGGGCACACGACTAGACATCTGTCCAAACAGATAGCAGAACACTGTCTGGCATCTCTAGGAAGAGGAACGAGCAGAAATCTTAGTAGTGCTATAATGGTGCACCTATCTCGAACTAAACATGAAATACGGACAGAAGATTCATTCAAAGTCCTCTACGTCGTAGCAAAGCAATATCCAAAAGGCTTAGAATGCGCCTCTTAAAGAAGGCTGAGGCGATTGCAATCAGAGTGACATAACCAGAGTTGTGCAAGCAGAAGGCTCGTGACGAAGCCCTCCTGTTACTATGGCCGGGTGGCAATTCCTCCGCATCGGACGCTGAAGCAAGACGAGGATGATCTTCATCCCACTGGCTGACAAGAGACTTGCCTAGAGTGGATCGATGTTAGTATTGATTGAGTTGACCAGCTTTGTTCAAATCACTTTCTTTACTGACCTTAGTACTACTTTCGCCAGTACACTTAGTTGTTTTACACCTTCTCATAAATCTATTGCCTGAAGGTTATCAAAAAGAGAGCGCCACTTCGCAACTTGGTTTTCTGATTTTCCCATGGGCATAAGTTACGAGTTGAAAATGTACAAAAGTGTAAGAAGCAGTGCACTCGGGAGTTCGTATGACCAAGAAGTTAACTGGTGAATTAGTGTACGCATGACAGATCGATCAATAAAATGTCGATCGTTTTCAAAAACAAACGGTATCCTGTCATTCCAGAAATGCCACGGAATGAGAAATCGGTCGTTAATCCCTCAACACCTGAAGCTTAAGTTACTTAGTCACTACCAAGGTCCGAGACAGTGAAGCTGTATAGTAGACAACTTCGCAACAGAGGTAACGCGCCGATTCCACAAGACAGTCAGCGATCGGCAGAGAGGCATCAAAGTGCTCATCCCTGTGTGTCATATGCACAATCGGATTAGATAGACTAGCCGCTACTGGTACATAGACTGTGTGGACGGTTTCCAGGATACACCAAACAAAAGACCAACCAGCTATCCGTAGTGCTTAGATTCAGAGGGATCATCGGCTAACTAGACTTAGTTGCACACACAGAAGACGCTCCTGGAAGTGGGTCAGCAAAACTCTGGTAACCCTAGCAAGTATGCCTGCCTTTTCACGACCGAAAAAGATACCAGTGAAAGAAAATCTTATTGCATCCAAAAACACAATCTGAGGTAATTTCATAGGGAGGTTCTACGATAGACATTCTGCAGAGCTAAAGGAAAAAATATGGCACCGTTTGCTCAATCGCGAACAGGGGGGAGAAAGTAGTAAGTTGATGTTGCCAATCGAGGCGTTTGCTATCAGCTGCTTGAGTTGTTTGGCCAGAGAGGTCAAGTGAAATGCCACAGCGCATGTTTGCAATACGTGTTTTGAAAAGCAACATTCGCCGCTGTTTGCCTAATGGGCGTACGGGGACCAACACAACCATTCCAGTGCGTCATTGAGTCAACATGGTAGATTGTTTCAGGCTCAGTGAGCGTGGGGCCAATGCACACGGACGCAAAAGTGTGAAGTTTCGACCCGGAACATGAACACACAGAACCCGCCGTGAAATTCTGTTTTGGGGTCGCATTTATCGTGAGCGATAAACTCAATGCAGTGTACCCGAAGATGCATGAAGTGGGGTGAGAGTCTTCGAAAATATCGCGTATTCGCGTTTGGAGTATTTATTAGCCTTCACAGCTGGTTTCGAGATTGGGTCTTCATTATTTGTATGTCCATCACCGGCACAGAGTGGTAGTGTTTCAGACACCGCGTGATTTCACAGCTGATGCGTAGTAACCTCCGCCGCCATCGGGCCGACCAGAGGACAGCGTCCATGGCATCGAGAGTCGAATGAATAAATAATGCCAAGTATGTGACACATACCAGGATGATAGGGCTGTAACTAGTGGCATAGGGCGATGTTTGTAACCAGGTCAGGCACTTGAGTAGAAAGCCAAAAATTCGGTGCGAAGACGCATCCCCCCGAAAGCGACTGCACATTCCGCTTTCCGTTGCCATTTATAGTTTAAGCATGACATCGGTGGTATAGGGAAGACTCAGAGCAAAACCACATCATCAACATCATGATTACACAAGTTAGCTAGAAGTGGGAAACACCTCAGCTACTGTGGCGCAATAAATAAAAGAAAAAAGAAACAATATGCAACAGATGCATGCCAACTGAGCTACCAGTAACGGATGGGCATCGTTCCGGAAAGCTACCAGCCGGGCTACCATTCAGCAACAAAATTTATTATGTTATATTATACTGCGCAAATAAGTGAGATCATGATTGGAGGGGAAATTAAAAGGGATGGGACAAAGAAACTCACAGCACGAACGCCACTGAGGTCGGCTCCTAGCCATATCAACAAGTGTATCCAGCCAAACGTGTTCATCGTCTTTCGGATCCCAACCAGGGAGCCGAGACACTCCAACTGAGGCCAGCTTCGAAGTGAGGGCCTTCATTCCTCTCGACCACGTCATCGCTTGGCCACCCCACCTTTTCTTCTATCCACGCCCCCGGCGCGCAAACAACGCACGTCGCGGGAGCCGGTGGGCTGGCATGTGTAACACATGGCCAAGCCGACGAAGTGACAGTGAAAACACATCACCTTGGAAACGGTTGATAGTTGTGCATGCAACACGCCGATCCAATTCAATGGAATTCAACTAGGTAGCCGCCGTAACCTACATGGCTGGAACAGTCTCAAACGGACGGTGATGTTCTGAGTATCTTTGTGTCAAAACATGCGGTTGAAGCGCTCCTCGGTTTACGGGGTCAAACGAGAGTGGCCTGTGTGATGGGAGTATCATATCAGATTGAACGAATGGACCAACCGAGCAAGTCAGACAGCCAATGGGAGACGTGCGCAACGGATTTGATTATTAGACACGGATTGCCCCGACATTCGTGCGAGCTATCCGCCGTTTGTTTAACAGTCAACGGAGGAACCTCATGGACCAAAAAAGCGTCATTACTTATGGATGTGAACGTGCAACTTATATCAAGGAGTTTGACTTGTCAAACATGCTGTAATTTGCGCTGAGTTGACTTTGCCGAAAAAACACTTGTCGCTGAAGGATTAAGTTCTACAACAACATGGTTGAGTCGAGGCGTTACCTTCCTCTAATTAGGGTGAGAACGATGATGCCGAATAGTGAAATGGTACCTCGTGCGACTCCAGCAAGCAAAACAACTGCTGAGTCGACTGAGAAAGCTGTGCGCCAATAATCACATCCCTATTGGGACCGTGCTTCCAAAGTGAGCGCGGCAGAAGATGTGAGAGTGCGATGTACCAATTGGCAGAGCACTAATACCAGGCTACAAGTACATGCAACCAACAGGTACTTGGTTTCGGTCAAGGAGAGTGAAGGAAGATAGTGATTTATGTCTGTTGGTATTCCTCAATATGAAACTGAAGTGAGCTGTGCGACAGCGCTCACTCGACGATGATGGAGGTTCCAGCTGAAGGCAAAGCGGAATGTAGTTTAGTTCCGTGTTAAGTTCCCACAACCGAAAGGAAAAAACAGCCAGAGGCTTAAACACTTACTCCTGAACCAAGCGCGTAACATCCACACACACACAAATACCGGGGTAATAAATAAACCAGGAATACATCGATTGAAGGCAAGGGAGAAAATAGCTCCATACGTCAAAGGTAACCTGAATATGCCATGTTAAATGAAACGCCGGTAGGCGCGCAATGTGAGTCTGGGAAGGGCCATAGAGTTCAATAATTATTTGTCAGGTCAACTGCTGATACAGCGGATCGCAAGGGGTGCTGCACGTTGGAAAAACGGCGAATAACAAATGACGACCAACAGGAACGTGAGTCACTTTCAGTACACAGCCAAAAAAGTGTGGACTTCGTCGATCGTTTGACATAAGGTCAATCAGTACGCTACTCAGACACCAGACAGATGACACATCACGCACTTACGTGTTAGTGGTAGTTGTCGAACACGACCGAATGCATGCATGTAATCTCGACAGTCTAGTAACTAGACATAGAGCCAACGACCGAAAGGGTGTTGGAAGAAGGTGCTATTCACTTGCAGGTGAGTGTCCGCAAGTCGATTAAGTTAGCTGGACTCAGTTAACAAATTAGATCACATTCGGAGCCATTCCGGATTATGATGGATGGCACTAACGTTGGTGATGCTGATAGCTGGGAGCCCAGTCAACTGCATCATGTTCTTTGTGGTGCAGAGAGTATACTGAAAGATGAACCGAGACTGAGAAACATAATCTAGCCAGCTCTATCGCTGAAGGCCGATAATTAGGATAGTAAAGAGTTGTTAGAGAAAATTTGAAGGGTGTTTGTGAGGAACGGAAATTCGTGGACCGGGGTTCGATTCCCCGTCGAGGCAGATTTTCGTGTGGAGTTTAATCGTGACTTCTGCCTTCGACGAAGTTAGAGAAAAGTTCAAGAAGATACTCGGTTATTAGAGACCCATTTACGAGGGCACACTAAAGGTAAGTTGGAAAAAAACGACACACCGCATGGCATTGCAACCCAAAACGTATCGTGGCGTAGAATGGAGGGCAAAGTGGACGCTAGACTCACTGTCATATTCTTCCAGCTCGCCGTCTTCATCGGACCCCACGTGCAGGCTTCCGTCATTGAGAGAGTAACGACTGGAGGCGATTGGCTGCTCTTCTCTGTGTGTGCGGAGGGAGGAAGGAAACATGGTGCGATTGACGAATGAGGATTGGACAGTAAGCTTCACAAAACTCCAAGTGCTACCTAAGTAATCACACAGTAATCACAGACCCGCAGAACTGCCACACTACCAATGCCCGGAAGTCTAAGGAACGTCTTAGTCCGTAGGTCCCCAGATGTTAACCTGGTTCCGGAATACTACGGTGATTCAAGCGAAACCGAACGTTGGATATCGCGCATCAGCCAGCAGAGATCGCGTTACGGCTACCGAGGGCACGTAGAGGCTTGTTTAGACAATAGACTGCTAATTGCAGCGTTTCGCTATGACTATTGCATGGCCGCAGCGCGCAACCTCTTCTGGTTGCTGTGTTATTCCAAGGGTTTGGTTTCGTTTTGAACACAGCGGTATGGCGGCTATATTGCTGCGTCCGGTCACAAATAGGGTGTATACTCAGACCAATAAAAGAATGAAGCCCGAAGAAATGCGACCGTATAGCCGTAGTGAATAGATATCACTGTGGTATGGACAACTGAAACGGTTGAGAAACGCACGGATTTAGCTGATACGATTGGAGGCACGGTCTTCCACGCAGATCTCTCGAAAAAGGTGGCCGAACGTGTGGTGAAAATGATCAAGCAAACGATACGGTAGAGGACAATTAGAAGCTACCTTTTGAAAATCAGATTACTCGGTGTAAGAGGATGTGGCAAGAATAATAGACCACTAAATCTCCCTTTCCATGTTTCGACTGTAACGACGCAAAAACAAACGTAATGCGGCTATTCTAAGCAAACATACAGACGGATTCGACAATAGAAATCAAAACGCCTAATGGTAGCGTCCAACGATGAGAGATGCTATCCTCTGTTCTAAAGTGGAAATGTTGCACAGTAGCGATGTGGCGCGATCAAGCTGACTCGTAGCCGCCAGTCAATGCAACGGTTTTGAAGTAATAGATAAGTAACAACAGTACTAGTAACAGCAAAATGATGTTAGTAATGACAATAATAAAGACAACAACGAAAGCCCAGACGACGGAAAAGTGGGGTTAGTCTCATGCAATATTGTATCGGCTCCGTGACCCACTCCGCTTGCGAGGAAAGCGCAGAAACACCATTCACTGTGTTGGTAAAAATGTGTAACGAACAGTTTGCAGCTAAAACATCCATCTCGGAAAACAACCGAACACCTCCGTCCACACCCCGATCTGCAAATGTTCTCGATAAGTGCCAAACTGTTCTGTCTGTTCAACAATGAGGCAGAATATTGAAGCGAATATAATGAAAAATGTACTGCTTTCGAAACAAAGTGCAGCGCAGAAAACAGTCAACTGTGCAAACCAATACGATGGAGCCAAGTGAAGCGTGCACCGGATACAGACAGTGAAAGGTTAGATAAGGTCAGTTAGCAAAAAGTTACAAATGATGGATGGTTCAGCTAAAACGTCTGGTTTGGGTGCGAATGTTAATTTCCCTGGAATCATGTGTGAGCTCCGAAAACTTCACTTCGAATGCGGTCCCAACGACGATTTGAATAACCTTGATCTACTATAGAGCAGATCTTGATTCCAAATGAGATTGCGCGCTGAAATCCAGGCACAGCGGACGATGAATCGTCTGGGGTCCACTGCCTAGGTGCAAACTTTTTAATGGGTAGACTCAATGAAGTGCAACCACGATCGCCGTTCGTGGTGGTGCCTGATAAATATGTAAACATTACCAAAGTGCTGTACGCGCATAGTTCGGGCAGGGTGAGGGTTTATGGCAAGCTCTCGCCACCCTTCAGTATCACCAGCGGTGTGAGACAAGGATGCCCGCTGTCACCTTTCCTCTTCAACTTCGCTATTGATGAAGTCATGGAAACAGCGTTCGCTGGACACGACCTAGATTGTGTGGAGCTACTTCCTGGTGAGCGGCTTCTTGACTTGGAGTATGCGGACGATATTGCCCTAATCTGTGACAGCTCCCAAACATGCCAAAGAGCACTGGACCGATTAGCACTGGCTGTCAATCGTTTTGGGCTATGCTTTGCTCCATCGAAATGCAAAGTACTTCTCCAAGATTGGCAGGGACCCAACCCTGCGCTAACGCTTGGTGGTGATCTGCTAGAAGTCGTTCAGGAATTCAAGTACCTGGGCAGCTATATTAGCACCCGTGGGATTGAAGATGAGGTTATGAACCGCATAGCAAAAGCTCGAGGTGCTTTTGCCAATCTCCGCCACCTGTGGCGCAGACGCGACATTACTCTCGCCCTGAAAGGCAGAGTTTACAACGCAGCCGTCCGTTCTACTCTCTTATATGGTTGTGAAACCTGGCCCATCAGGTCGACTGACATGAAGAGACTCGTCACATTCGATCATCGCTGCCTTCGCAGCTTATCTCATGTCTGGTGGGAACACCGCGTGAGCAATGAGCGTGTTCGACGTCGCGTATTTGGTGCAGGCAGAGCGAGTGAACCGCTCAGCACCATTATATCACGCACCAGGCTCCGATGGCTGGGCCACGTGTTGCGCATGCCAGCACACCGACTCCCGCGACGTGCATTGTTTGCGCGTTGTGGGTGCGGTTGGAAGAGGAGGAGGGGAGGCCAAGTGATGACTTGGTCGAGAGAAATGAAAACACTCACTTCAAAGTTGGCGTCGGTTGGTGCATCCCGACTGCCTGGCTGGGGTCCTAAGGACGGTGAGGACGTTTGGTTGGACACACTCGCTGATATGGCTCGGAGCCGGCACCAATGGCGTTTGTGTTGTGATTTCCTTTGCCCATCCCCCTCCTGTTTAGTATCCCCCTCCAATCACGATCTCATCTGTTAGGCATAATATGATTCTCTTTTTACGGCAGCCAGCTGTTAGCTCTCCGGAACGATGTCCATCCGTTACTGGGGACTCAGCGGGGTGCCACTGTTTTTCCTTTTCTTTTATTTTGTATTGCGGCACAATAGCTGAGGTGTTTTCCACCTCCAGCTAACGTGTAATGATGATGATGATAATGATGATCGCCGTTCGTTGAAATCCACCCGAGCCACCAGTCAAACTGTTAGGTAGCTGGCATAGCTCCGCCCAACCTGCGCAGATTTCGCCGGGCTCACCTGAGACATACGATCACTATGCAGCAACTCAGACTGCGTTAGGAACAACTGAGCCATCCCCAGGACCTAGATGTCAAGCGACAAGGAAGCAACTGAGCACTAATCAGGACACATGCATGCGTTGTGAACTGAGATTCCCTCAGGACTCCATCACTAGGGGGCAACTCAGGTGACTTGCTAACAGCCACCTTTTTCCATAGTTTGTGCTATTATGTCGAGTCATAAAAATGAGGGTGTAGAAGGGATGCTTCGCTTTGGTTGCTTTAGTCCTCTTTTTCGCTCGGGTCACAGTGCAGTCGTGCTAAGTTGCGTGTACTCGTCTAAAGTCTTAGCTAGAATGTACGTCTGGCGGCTAGGTCTCCTTAGCACACAAACGTTACGAATTCGATTGGCTATTCTGCATGCGCAGAACGTTTGTCCATTCCGACTGGGTCGAAACAAATGGGCTGCGTCATAGCAGGAACCTTGCTCACTGTCCATTAAAGACCCTACGAGTACAGTGACTGGCTGGGAGTCTGCTACTATACCGCTCACTACTATCCAGGTTAGAAGCTTACCTCATTGGTCGAAAGCAGACAGTCAAGGTAGATGAGTATCTGTCGGAGACAAGATATATTACTAGTGGCGTGTTACACGGTAGTGAACTCGGCCCACTTCTTTGTTTGATATATGTAAATGATCGTTACCATGCAATAAGGCATGGTAGACCTTATTTGCTCGCAGATGATATAAAAATTGTGTATGCTGCTGATTCTTAACCTCCGTCTTTTATATTTGCGATCCAAAGTGACCTAGTTTCTCTGGAAGACTGGTGCGTCGGATCTTCCATGAAATTTTCAACATCTAAATGCAGCATTATGTGCTTGGTCCCAACTGAATGTTTGTTTTACACGGAGTTCAACTCCCTTTATGTGAATTGATATGTGACTTAGGTCTTCGTTACTCAAGTTCGTTGAATTGTAAAGAACAAGTTGACTATACGGTGGCTAAAACACGACAGAGTATTGGGATGATAGGCCGCTTGTTTATAACAAGCGATGCCCAGCTCCTGTCATTTAAACTGTACGTCAGCCTATTGTTAGAACACTGTGCCACCACTTTTAGTAGCATTAGAAGATACGACACGAGTGCAATCGAGGCTGCACAAAGGTCGATTACCAAAAGTATCGTGGGCTGTACCTCTAAGATCATGTGTAAAGATAGATGTCATATGTTAAAAATTGAACCGCTTTAGCTTCGAAGATTAAGGCTGAATGTATGTCTATTATTCAAAATTGTCCATCGACTGACATACGCTAGTTACTATGAGCCGGTGTTCCAAGAATCATCACGGTATGACCTAAGAAAGAGACTATGTGATAAAACTACCTCGCTGCCGCACACGTCTGCGGTATAACAGCTTCCCATATATATACCCCACTTTATGGAATAGATAGCCTCAGACCAACAGAAATACATCTTCTTTTCGAACATTTAAGATGCAACTGCTAACAAAGTTACATAACTGTTTCGTGTCAGTTGCACAGACGAATGGGTGTACCAGAACGGGCCTGATAACATCTAAGTATTTGCGGAATTTGCAATATAAAAGCACAGAGAAATGTAACGAGAAGGGCTTGTTGACACAAAGTGAAATACAATGCCACATTAGCATGAGTTTTTGGCGTCAGTTAACAGATTTGTCTTGCATTTCTTCCTCCTATTTTGTCACATCCTTCGGTTGTACTCAAATTGATGACACACCGGTGGCCTATATAGGTTGGATAAATGAGACCTATCTCTGATTTTCGCTTAGTCTATACTGTTAGTCAGATTGATGGTCTGTTGGTAACCTATGAAAACATGGGCACATCGATGAGTTGGATAGATGGGATTTATCTTTGATTCTTTCCTCAATTAAACAGCTTCGCA